GGTGCTCTTCTCACATCCCGGCGAGTTGGTTCTACGGAAGAGAGAGAGAGAGAGAGAGAGAGAGAGAGAGAGAGAGAGAGAGAGAGAGAGAGAGAGCTCTCACCTGGCTGAGTCGCCGGCGCCGACGGTGTGGCTGACATGGACGCGGCAGCTACTCGAGTTGGGGTCACCGCAGCCGCCGCCGCCGCTACAAGCTATCGATGTGAAATTTGGGAGGGGATTGCCAGTGCGTGGTGTTGTGGTCTTATGCCCGATGGCTAGGTTAGGTCAAGAGAAAGTTTTGGGCCGATTCCCCAATGGGCTGTTGAGCCTGCTGTCTGTCCAACAGCCTAGATGACCCTGTTTTGGTCCATTCCACGCTAAAACGTATAACGTTTTTTCGCTAAAACGCCAAAATAGCACGCTATAGCGTGTTTAGCGTCGTAGCGAGCAAATGTGCTCAAACGTAACGTGAGCCTCCCAAATATGCTAAGAGCAAGGCAGAGCAGACGACGAGTATCCTCCCTGCAGACCAACAGCAACGTTCCGCTGGATTCTAGCAGGTATCGCGGCGAGTCGCCGAGGACCCGGCCCCGGCGGGGGTTACCCATGAGGTGGTCGACCCGTGAAACGGTCGGCTCGCCGGTGCGCCTGTCGGTGGCGATGGACACGGAGAAGAGCCCGTCCCAGCTGTCGAGGGCGTAGAGCTTTCCCTCGCACGAGACAATGCCTTGGAGGTGGCGAAGCTCGTCGGGTGTGCCGGACCACCACGAGGACGCCCCTGGCCGGCACAAGGCGAGCTTGCTATACGTCCATGCCTCGTTGTCATCGACGATCGCGGCGACGAGGTCGTGGGAGCCAGTGGCGGCGCCACGGTAGGGGCGACTATGGTCGGCCGCCCCGGGTAGCCGAAATCCCGTATACGAATAATACGATTCGTTTTGTACTCCACGGTCACGCACAAGCCCAGTAGCAGTCCACACCCCAATTCTCAAATCGAGCCACGCAGCCAGAGACTAGCGAGACTAACCTAGCCGCCACAGAGCTCCGCCTCGGCGGCGGCCCGGCCGCCGGCCACCGTGCACCTGGTCCAGAGCCAATCCATTTCCTTATGTTGTTGACCTTCAATTTCTGTAGCTAGTCCAACTCCAAGCGCAATCAGACAATCAGCAAGTAGTCCAACTCCAATACTTGTTCCAAGACATACTCTATATTGATATCCAATTTGTTCACCAAATAACAACCACCGTCAATGAAAAGTACTGTAGATCGGAGTGATCCAACCTGAAAACACACGAACATAGATAAACACGAACAAATCTGAGCAAATCCATCAAACATAGATCCGCCAGAGACACGCCTCCACACGCCCACCGACAATGCTAGATGCACCACCGGAATGAGGGCTAGGCAGGGAGGACCTTATTTCATCTTCAGCCAGCCGCCGCCGTCCCGCCTTCCAAGCAGGACACAAACCCCTAATAAATCTCGAAGACACATCTAAAAACGGAACCCTCTCATGGGTAAAGGCGGGATCCACAACACCCTCATGGCCCTAAGACCATTGGAAACAAGGCGGAACGTCGACAGCGCCGGCGGGAGGCAGAGATCCCTAATTTTTTGGGAGGAGGCGGCCACAAGGTAGGATTCCCGAAGGTGCTCTCATGTTAGTAGTTCTCTATGACATTCATGTTAGATTTTGTGATTTTTGATGGAACATCGCCTAGTTGTTGAGAATCTCAAACTGTTCCTAATCATTGGTTATGTTAATTTCTGAATGCATCTAGCTTCATATTTGAATTTTATGAGTTTTGGTTCAGCGGATTTGCGTTTGTCAATCAAATAATTTGTACCTCAAATGTTCCGCCCCGGCTAAGTTCAATTCCTGAATCCGCCACTGGTGGGAGCACACCACGAGCTTCAACATATACGGCTTGGGCTCGTCTTGCGGGACCCGGAGAGGCACGTTGGGGGCGTACGTGTCGGAGAGGCCGGGGAGCAGGATGGTGGTGGACATGGAGAAGGGGCTGACCAGCGTATAGGCGCCGTCGAAGCGCTCGAACAC